CTACATCTCTCACTGTGCAGACGACTTGGCTCCAGCAGGGAGAAACAAGATTCTTCTCCAGACTGAGGGACTGCCCGCTTCAAACTATTACTCCTACTGACTCTGTATTTGACTGAAGAAGCCTACTGTGTAGGCGGAACGTTTCAACAATGAAGACATGCAACTGTTGCACATATGTCTTACTCATGGAATAGCATCCACCACTTGTAAATTCAAAAGGTATACAACTTTTGCTTCCTTTCCTATCCAATTTCCAGCAGTGTGGTGCCGCTAAACCGCTGTGAAATGCTAGAGGAAATATCTTAAGTGATTACCAGCAGGAGACTTACCCACTGGCGGTCCTGGCCAGGTAAAACCTTTCCAACTATTACAGAAAATTGCCGTGGGATATCTTACATTTTCTTTAAGAAAACCACTACTTGTGTAAGCTTTACTTGATTTTCTCCTCTTTGTACCTTTGCTTACCGCTTTCATTCTATGTTTTACCTTGCGTGGCTGAAATGTTCTGCAATTTGTATACCACCAGTCAGGGATAATTTAATGTATAAAGGTCAACACGCAGTGTATATACACAAAGATACACATCTCTTGGTATATATACCCTTGATTATAAGATGTCACTTAGCCTGCAGTGCGGCTCACGTATTTTAAATCTCTGAAATCTTGCGAGGAATGCTGATGAAATTCAATGTTTTCCATCACCAGGATTAAAATTTGCTTATGACTGCCTTTTATTATTTTGGTATGTTTTTATTCGTATGTGCTTTATTAGCCTGGAAATCCTATATGCAATGTCGAGGATTGCTTTATTGAATTTAAGGCTTGGTGAGTACAGGGGGGTTATTAAGGTTGTATATCATCAGTCATGGTTAATTTAATGTATAAAACAGAGCCAAGTGTATATACACTTAGAAATACACATCCTTCGGTATGTATATACTCAGAGATACAGATCTCTCAATGTTTATACTCTTGATCGGGAACGAGAGAATTTGTTCCAATTTCCTTGCTCCTTTCCCAAATTTCGTGAACTGCCTTGCACCGCTCGACTCCAACACCCCACAACGACACCCCACACCCCACAACGACACCCCCACACCCCACAACGACACCCCACAACGACACCCCACACCCCACACCCCACACCCCCACCATACTCAACATAGGTTGTCATAGAGGCTCTTACATCAGGTTTAAAGTGAGTTATGGTCAAGGAGGTCCATTAAGTGGAGAGCCTTGCTACTCTGACATTATTTTGTTATTATGTTGCGTACCCGGCCGCTCTCAACACACAGGGGGCACTACCAGCCTCTCTCAGCACAAAGAGGGCACTACCTGCCTCTGTCAGCCTAGTGGGGCGCTACCCACCTCTCTTAGCTCAAGGGGAAGGGGCGCTACCCCCCTCCTCCTCCTCTCTCAGCTCAGATGAGACAGGCGCTGTCCTCTCAGCTCAGATGAGAGGGGCACTCTCCTCTCAGCTCAGGGGTTGAGAGGCAGTACCTTTATCTCCTCTCAGCTCAGAGAAAAGGGGCAGGACATTTATCAGATCCTTAACTTGCCCACGAGACATTGCCTGCGACACCCCAGAAAAAAGAAACGCATTTGTCATAATTCATTCAGTAGCAATCTTCGTGTGGTCCATTTGGAATATGGCGACGAAAGCACACAGTTTTAGGGAAAAAATGCCAATATATATATATATATATATATATATATATATATATATATATATATATATATAATATATATATATATATATATATATATATATATATATATATATATATATATATATATATATATATATATATTATATATATATATATATATATATATATTATGTACCATAACATATGAAAGAATACTGTAAATACTTCAAGAACACTGTAAATATTACAAGAATACTGTAAATATTGCAAGAAAGCTGTAAATCTCTCATGAATACTCTAAATACTGTAAGAATGACAAACAAGAGTGTAATGCCAGGAAGACATCTTGAGCAGAGAAAGAACTGAAGTTGAACTACAGCTTATAGTAGAGGAGAAAAGAGTACATCTACGTGATGAAGTACCACTGTACCACTGTACCACTGTACCACTGGGATACTTCATTACATGGAACAATTGTACCACCGCGACACTTCATTATAAAGAGCAACTGCGCCACTGCAACACTGCAGGATAAAGATTCACTGGAAGACGTATCCAAGAACACACACTTTGTCTCTGGATAATAGTATGTGGTTGAAAGTAAACTTTTCAAATTTTGGGACGTGGGTGGTGTCTAAAGTCAATGTAGACTTTGGGACTTGGGTGGTGTCTAAAGTCAATGCAGACTTTGGGACTTGGGTGGTGTCTAAAGTCAATGTAGACTTTGGGACTTGGGTGGTGTCTATAGTCAATGCAGACTTTGGGACTTGGGTGGTGTCTAAAGTCAATGCAGACTTTGGGACTTGGGTGGTGTCTAAAGTCAATGTAGACTTTGGGACTTGGGTGATGTCTAAAGTCAATGCAGACTTTGGGACTTGGGTGGTGTCTAAAGTCAATGCAGACTTTGGGACTTGGGTGGTGTCTAAAGTCAATGTAGACTTTGGGACTTGGGTGGTGTCTAAAGTCAATGCAGACTTTGGGACTTGGGTGGTGTCTAAAGTTAATGTAGACTTTGGGACGTGGGTAGTGTCTAAAGTCAATGCAGACTTTGGGACGTGGGTGATGTCTAAAGTCAATGTAGACTTTGGGACGTGGGTGATGTCTAAAGTCAATGCAGACTTTGGGATGTGGGTGGTGTCTAAAGTCAATGCAGACTTTGGGACGTGGGTGATGTCTAAAGTCAATGTAGACTTTGGGACGTGGGTGGTGTCTAAAGTCAATGTAGACTTTGGGACGTGGGTGGTGTCTAAAGTCAATGTAGACTTTGGGACGTGGGTGGTGTCTAAAGTCAATGCAGACTTTGGGACGTGGGTGGTGTCTAAAGTCAATGCAGACTTTGGGACGTGGGTGGTGTCTAAAGTCAATGCAGACTTTGGGACGTGGATGGTGTCTAAAGTCAATGCAGACTTTGGGACGTGGGTGGTGTCTAAAGTCAATGCAGACTTTGGGACGTGGGTGGTGTCTAAATTCAATGCAGACTTTGGGACGTGGGTGATGTCTAAAGTCAATGCAGACTTTGGGACGTGGGTGGTGTCTAAATTCAATGCAGACTTTGGGACGTGGGTGGTGTCTAAAGTCAATACAGACTTTGGGACGTGGGTGGTGTCTAAAGTCAATGCAGACTTTGGGACGTGGGTGGTGTCTAAAGTCATTGCAAACTTTGGACCGTGAGTGATGTTTAAAGTCTTGCAAATGTGGGCGATGTTTAGTCTCACGAAATCTTTCGTGAGTTAAACATAAAATCCCTCAAAGAAATAAAATGACTCTTGTTTTCCCTCTTCACAAAAGAGCAACAAAGAGCTGGAACTCCTTTGTCCTTAACAAAATGCTCTCTCACTCTCTGTTTGCTATCCTGTCTTGCTTTTTGTCTCTAAACAAACCTAACTCTCTCGCTCTCTCTCTCTATAAAATCGCTGCCTTCAAAGGCTTTCCAGACTCTCACTTTTTTTACAAAGGCTTTCCAGACTCTCGCTTTTTTACAAAGGCTTTCCAGACTCTCGCTTTTTTACAAAGGCTTTCCAGACTCTCGCTTTTTTACAAAGGCTTTCCAGACTCTCGCTTTTTTACAAAGGCTTTCCTTACTATGCTCGTAAATAATCTCTGGGAAGAACAAATGATATGTAGAATCCGGGTTCCATTATTTTTGCCTACGGTAAGGGAAACGACAGGATAACGGAGATGAATGACACTAGTCTCTGTAAATATTGAAGTTTTTCACAGTTTTCTGAGTCGAACTCAGAGTCTGGTGATAGAAGTCGCTGTAGGCGAGGGGTGATGCGGCTGTACGGGCCCGACGCAGACGAAAACACAAACGTACATGAATAAATGCACACGTACATGAACGGGTAAGCGCAGAGTAAGCTTCTACGCATCTATGACCTTTTTTTTTTCCACCAACTAGCTTATTTTATCAACTATTGATGCTCCGTCGTCAAAGTTGTCCTCACTTTATATACCCTCTCTTTTTTTACTCGTTATTTTTTTAACATTATTGGAATCTCCTTTCCTACTTTCTCTCTACCACATTTGAACATGACTTTCTCCACTTTCTTTCACACTTTCAACCCCCCATATTACACCAGCTGTTTATTCTCACCCTTATTGTCACCATTGATTCTCACTCAGTCGTTCGTCAGACAGTTACAGGCACTCCAGACACTGAGACCGAATCAAATTTACAACTAAATCACAATCAACACTCTTTGAATAATATTTCGATCCGTTTTAAACCATTATTAAATCGCGCCTGCATATATGCACCACAATTGAACGGAACATCATCCCAGAATTTGGTTAGTTGCGTCCTCTATTATTATCTACGTTACTAGAACAATAAATTCTTAATTATAGATATATATATATGAGTGAATTTGAACTTATACACACATACACATATAATATATGTATATATATATATATATATATATATATATATATATATATATATATATATATATATATATATATATATATATATATATATATATACATACATATATATATATATATATATATATATATATATATATATATATATATATATATATATATATATATATATATATATATATATATATATATATATATATGCAAAACAACCACTCTGAAAGAATAGAGAAATTCCAAGCGCTTTCGTGACTACTCACATTATCAAGGAACTATGTTTTGTTGTTTTGCATATTCTGAAATCACCTGTTTACTGTGATCTTATTGCATATATATATATATATATATATACATATATATATATATATATATATATATATATATATATATATATATATATATATATATATATATATATATATATAGCAGGAAAATCTAGGGACTGGTCACAGGGTAGACACTTACCTGCACTTCTACCATTCCGAGAAATAACTGTAAAGAAATGAGAAAATAATTTAGGTAATAAGTGCATCCAATTATTTTTCTTAAATTTGAATGTTATTTTTTTACTACTATTGAGGACAGAGAAAGATGCCGAAATAGTCTTACCCCCTGCATATATTCAACGGTAAAATACCCCCGTACCTCCCCCCCCCGACCCCCCAAAAATATCAGATTACAGGTATGACGGTGAGCGTAACGTAGTTGTGTGTCTCGGTAAATTTTCCATACGACACTTCGTAAAACTGGTATAGCTTGCTTAGAGGCAGGTTGGCCGTCAGTTTCCGATCAGCCAGGCTGTGTTTCGTACGTTGGACTACGTGCTGCCAACAGCAACAACCTGATTGATCAGGCCCTGATTCATCGGGAGGCATCAGTCACTAACAAAAGTGAAGGATGGGAGAAATAAGGTGATAACGCTAACTTAATGTTTATAAATGAGAGAAATACTTTAGCAACGTTTGGCTCAAGGAGAGTCGAACCGTCGTCTCGAGTTTCTTCTCTAAAGTGTAGGTTGTTAGTGAGTTATGTCCCTGGCATCGTTCCTACCACGGTATTGTGACATCCACGGTATTGTGACAACCATGGTGTTGTGACAACCATGGTGTTGTGACAACCACGGTATTGTGACATCCATGGTGTTGTGACAACCATGGTGTTGTGACAACCATGGTATTGTGACAACCACGGTATTGTGACAACCACGGTATTGTGACATCCACGGTTTTGTCTCAGCCACAGTATAGTGACCTAATTTTCGACAGTCTCCTCTAAGCTACCAGTAAAACAGAAGACATTAACTACAGCGTCAGCTGCAGTTCTGACGTGTAGACAAGCCACCTCATACAGACATATTTATCGTAGCCAAAGTTCAGGAACTGAAACTGTTATTTTAGTACCTGTATCTTAAGTTAACACTTTCTTGCCTACTTTCTTCAACTTGTCAGCAGTTATTTGCCTTTTCTTTGATGAATTAATATGTATGTTTTCTCTTACATAAATGTATGAGAAAATAAATCACACTTTCTTTTATCTTTTTTTATTTGGTAAAATGGGATACCTAAGCAATGTGATACAGTTCTATATTAATCCTAATCTAAACATCATGGGTAGTTTTAGAGTGGGAATAAAAGCTGGCTATGTTTCCTGTGTTCTCGGTGCCATATGCCAGCTTGTGTGTATGATACAGCTGATGAGGCTGGAGAAGTGTCTTATTCTTGCACAGTGTCTTCCAGCATTACAACTGGCAGTGATGTATTCCAAGTCTCCCTCAGATCAATACTATAGTGGCAGCGTGTGTGCCTCGCGGCTGTTAGCCTCTCCCACTCCCTCTCTTCGCTGCCTTGTAGAGGAATAGCATTTGAATACTTGAATGCATAATAAATAAGGTCTCAACGAGAGCTAGAAGGTCGATGAGTCGCCGGGTAAAAGGGAGTAACCATGTAGGCAAGATGCGTTTCGGCTTTGTTTCTCCCTGGTACATTACGAGGCCTCTGGTTTAGTTTTAACAGCGCTGATGCTCACTGGCTATGAGGACTATTGGTTTATCTGGCTCATTCTGATTTTGGCTTGAAAGGCAAGAGAGATGGCAACAGGTGAAGTAGTTAGACACTTATTGTTGGAAAAAACTATGCAGGATGCTTTGCTGTAAGTGTTCTGTGTATCACAATACTACTCTTACCCTACACTCTCTGTTGTCACCAAGACTGGTTCATCCGTCACTACTCCACGCTTACGCAGTTCCTCGCATGGGGGAGCCACCTCATAAAACCAGCTGGGAAACTTTGTCGCTCTGGCTTAGCTGTAACACCCGAAAAGATTTTTAACAGTCTTTTCTGGAGGAAATTCTTAACAAGAGAAGCATGTCGGGAGTGAGCTTAAATTGGATTCCTGCGAAGTTCGTTTACTTTTCAGAGATGCTATGTGGTGCGGGTAGCGAGAAATGGCCTCCTTGTCCTTGGGTTGGCTGGTTCATTAACCCGAGGCCGCATAATTACGTTGCTTGAAGTGAGCCCGTCTAGCTAGCGGTTGGATAGTCGCCCGACTAATTCCCGGATATTGAAGCCGCGTCAAGACCTCGCATATTACCGGAGAGACTGATGAGGGGGAGGGGGTGTCGGTAGTCCTTCTAAAGAAAATTATTTTGCAGGAAACTCATTGTTTTGATTTTAAACCTTCTCGGGGAAACTGTAGATAATAAAAGCTTCCCCCAAAGTAAACTTAGTAAACTTAACACAAGCAGAGTCATCGACACTTTTTTTTGCAACGTGGAGACTTAAAACAACTTTTTTTCATGTTTCACGAGTGATGTAATTTATCTAAATTTGAAAGCGAGATTTGAAGATGTGTCTTGTAGGTTCTCCTTTTGCTTATTCAAAAAACTAATTCATAGCAGCGTTTCTCTCTCTCTCTCTCTTCTTCTTCTCCCTCTCTCTCTCTTCTATTATCTATCTATTATCTTTTTTATCTCTCTTCCTGTGTTGTTTTATGTTGTATGTATATGAATGTGTAATTTTTATTTATAATATTATATATATTTATATATAATATATATATATTATATATAAAAACACTGATTCGGGAAAGGAGACTCGAATACAAAACCTTGGACAAGGTACCGTGCTTTAAATTACCCCACTGGCCATCCCTTGGGTGTAGCAGAGCTACCGTTTGATCCAAGGCAGCCGTTTGGGGAAGGCTTACAGCTTTTCTCTCACCCTGATGCATCAGCCTACTGAGATTTGCAATGCAAGGTTTTCGCGAGAGATGCGAAATTACACAAACACTGTCTCTGGCTGAAGGAGACTCGAACCTACGAACCTTAGGAAAAGGGTACGCAGTGCTTTACCAATCTACCCCACGGGCCAATCCCTTTGGGCGTGTAAAAGTAACGTTTGATCCAAGGAGCAGTTTCGGGGGAAAAGGTTCCCTTTTCATCCATCCCTGCATGCCAGCCTTACTAAGATTTGAACAATGAAAGGGGAATTGCGAGGCATGCAAAATTACACAAACCTGACTCTGGTGAAGGAGACTCGAATACAAACCCTTAGGAAAGGTCGCAGTGCTTTCCCAAATTCCCCACACTGGCCCAATACCTTGGCGTTACAGAGTACCGTTTATCCAAGGCAGCAGCCTTTCAGGGGAGGTTAACAGCTTTTATCTCACCCCCTGCAGCTCAGCCTTATAGGATTTGAACAATGCAAGGGAATTCGCGGGGAGCATGGAAATATACACAAACACTGTTCTGGCTGAAGGAGACTCGAACCTACAAAAACCTTAGGACAAGGTACGCTTGCTTTCCCAATCTACCCACACGGGGACCAATCCTTGGCGTGTAGCAACTACACGTTTGATCCAAAGGGCACCCAGCTTTCAGGGAAAAGGCTTACGCTTTTCATTCACCCCCTGCATGCTCACCCTTATAGAGATTGAACAATGAAGGAATTCGCGAGGCATGCAAAAATATACAAAAACATGTCTCTGGTGAAGGAGACTCGAACTACGAACCTTGGGAAAGGTCCAGTGCTTTCCCAAATTTCCCCCACATGGACCAATAATTGGCGTGTACGAGCTACCGTTTGATAAAGGGCAGCCAGCTTTCGGGAGAAGGTTACAGCTTTTCTCTCATCCCTGCATGCACAGCCTTACTAGAGATTTGAACAATGCAAGGAATTCGCGAGAGCATGCGAAATATAACAAACACTGACCTGGCTAAAGGAGACTGAACCTACGAACCTTAGGAAAAGGTACGCAGTGCTTTACCAATCTACCCACACTGGCCAATCCCTTTGGCGTGTAGCAGAGCACCTTTATCAGGCAGCCAGTTTTTCGGGAGAAGGCTTACGCTTTTCACTCATCCCCCTGATGCTCAGCCTTACTAGAGATTTGAACAAGAAAGGAAATTCCGAAGCTTTGCGAAATATACCAAAACAGCTCGGCTGAAGGAGACTCGAACCTACGAACCTTAGGACAGGTACGCAGGCTTTACCAATTACCCACACGGGACCAATCCCTTGGCGTGTGCGAGTACACGTTTGACCCAAGGCAGCCACTTTCGGGGGGGAAAAAGGCTTAATTTTTCATTCATCCCCTGCATCATCACCCTTACTGAGATTTAAACAAGCAAGGTTCGCGAGAGCATGCGAAAAAACACAAACATGATCTCTGGCTAAAGAGACTCGAACCTACAAACCCTTAGGAAAAGGTACGCGTGCTTTCCCAATTTACCCCCCGGGCCCAAATTTCCTTGGGTGTAGCAGAGCTCCTTTGTCCAAAGGCAGCACTTTCAGGGAAGGTTAAGCTTTTCTCACCCCCTGCATGATCACCTTATGAGATTTAACAATCAAGAATTTCGCGGGGAGATGCGAAAATACAAAAACATGACTCGGCTGAAGGAGCTGAAACACGCCCTTAGGACAAGGACGCAGTGCTTTCCCAAATCTCCCCCACACGGGGCCCAATACCTTGGCTGTAGCGAGTCCGTTTGACCCAAAGGCGCCAGCTTTCAGGGAAAGGCTTACGTTTTATCTCATCCCCTCATGCATCAGCCTTACTGAGATTTGAAAAATGAAAGGAAATTCGCGAGGGGATGCGAAATATACACAAACAGATTCGGCTAAAGGAGACCGAACCTACGAACCTTAGGACAAGGTACGCAGTGCTTTTACCAATCTCCCCACACTGGCCCAAATACCTTGGGTGTAGCAGAGCAAACCGTTGATCCAAGGCACCAGCTTTCAGGAAAAGGCTTCAGCTTTTCATCTCACCCCTGCGCCACCCTTTAAGATTTGAACAATGCAAGGAAATTTGCGAGAGATGCGAAATATACCAAACACTGATCTCTGGCTGAAGAGACTCGAACCTACAAACCTTTAGGACAAGGTACGCTGCTTTCCCAATCTACCCAACTGGCCCAATACCTTGGCGTTAGCAGAGTACACGTTTGACCCAAAGGCAGCCAGCTTTAGGGAAAAGGTTCAGTTTTTCATCTC